CAGACTGGTGATTACACCATTCCTGGACTTTATTATTAGCGGTGATTACACCTTTCTTGGACTTTATTATTATTGATCTTGAAGGTAGACAGACTTATATATTCAGTTTTTGTTTTTAAAGAAATTAAAAACAGAGATATCAAACATTACTTTCCATGCCAAACTATTAAAAGGTAGAAGTTGTTGTCTAGACGAGTGTACTTATTATGCAGAACAAACATCGTAGAAGATATAAACAGTTTATTTCTCTACAATAGGTCCCTATTATTCCACCACCATCCAGCTCTATAGCACCAGATACTCGACTCAGGACCAAGTCCCCACCCTCTGGTGGAGAAATACGGCCACAAAGTTTGGTTATCAAGCCACCTCTATTAAAAACCAGACATGTATCTGGACAAGTGAGTATCACTGCACCTACAACTGAAGTGGAACCCACAGAATGTGACCCAAGCAAAGAAAGTGGTCGCAGGCTCAACATTAAGAGGTCGTCCCGAGATGAAAGACGTTACCATACGGCAGATTCTGTAGAAATGCTGAAAAAAGAGAGTAAACAAGACAACACAATCCATAAACGACTCTCCTGGAACAACTACGGCTCCAAAGATAGCGTAAGCAGCTTTGGTTCAGGAAGGTTAAGGAAAGCAACTGCAGCTTCTAAGTGCCTCAGTTCTGAATCCGTTTGTTCCAGTGGCGTGGAAAGTAGTACGTCTTCTTTCCTTAGTGCAGGGGAACAAGAACCCATGACAGAATCAAAACCTTGTGATCATCTGATCTTGATCAATGGTGACATTGGAACTTCATCGACAGACCCTCAACCTGTGACACCAAATTTTGAGCTTGATGTAAGCGAGGTCAGAGACGGCATTTCGTCTGTTCAGATTAAACTGACTAGTGGACACAACCAACGCAACAAGGTTGATCTTCGCAGAATGAAGGAACTGATCCTGAACAGTTACTCTGTTGAAGCCTCGTAAGTGCTTCTTTTATCTCACCTTCTTTCCTTTCTTTAATTATTAATTATATTCAGAGTAAAATAAAACCTAATTATCGTGTGAAATACAAAATGTAAGTAAAAAAGTTATGAATTTTTCTTTTTCTAGGGAAGTGTGACTACAGTGCTGAATCATGGAGTGGAAATTGCACTTTAGTGAAGAAGACAGGATATTCATGGTGCTTCAATAGAAATAAGTAAACTGGGATCTAACCAGATAGTTAACGAATGAAGCAGCACATTATCGAGGAAATATCTTAATTTTACCCATCTAGAATAATGTACTAGCACCTTACCTATTAAGTTATATATATGCATTCCATCACATGGCATTTGTTGCCATGACAGCCTACAGGCAGCTGTGATTTTCATATCAAGTAAAAACCAGGATCATTATATAGCTTGCAACGTGGTAGAAATATGGGATGAACATATGTATTTCTAGTGATAAACATTAATGTTTTAGATGTAAATCTAATTAGAAAGTATGTAATAGTTTTAATGTTGTGACATATTTCTTCCTCCTCTAGTCTTATTAAACCTTATTCTGTGAAGAACCAACTTCTAAATAAAAAGTAATTATTGTTGTAAACAGAAGCTAACTGAATTTAGTACATGAAAAACTTAAGTACATTTTGTCACAACAATGGCACTAGTCATAATAGTCCAACACTTGTGTGTATACAGGCATAAATTAACAATAAATTTTGTATAAATGTAAATGTGAATATATATATATATATATCGTAAGGAAAACTAAAATGTAAGCTGTTTAGGGACAATCAAATGTTTTTCTTATTTTGTACAAAAATGAAGTGCTTTATTGGATTTAATAAAATTAGAGCTACTACAAAACTTGACCTTGTGTGTATCTAAGTTAAGAGTTTTCTTCCTTAAATCTCAGACTATGGTGAAAACATGTTTGTTTATATGCGTGACTAAATGCAAGATGACTGGCAGAAACAAAGTGTACAAGTTACCATGTTTATTGTCTGAACACCAGTTACTTTTAACAATCACAACTTGAATGTAGTAACACATGCAGATGTGTAGATTGGTTTAGCTGTGCCCAATATAATGTTAAGTCAGTCACTTAGTACCCTGGTGGAAATTTGTAACAATAATGTTCACTATGTAACATTCATTTCACAACCCAGCAAAATAAGTAATAATACTGAATAACATACCTCCTCACCACCCCATCATGTATTTAAAAACTCAAGTTGTCAAGAGGCATAAAATAATCAGCACTAAATCTAATTATTTCCACGCTACAATGGTTAAGATGGTTGCAAGGAGTGACTGGCATGCACTTTTAAGGAAGTTAGTACTGAAGATATATGGTTTGCATCTTGGAGGCTATCATAAACAGGGTAAATAGCAGCAGGATTTAATGTGGAGCTTTTACACACAAAGGATACAGTAGCTGCTACTGAGCAGGTTCTATTAAGTAAACTGGTGGAGGAAAGCAAAAGGGACAGATAGGAATGAAAAACATAAGGAGGTTATTGTTATAGGAGTTTTTTTAGTACCACACGTTGGTAAAAAGAATTAGGTTATGCAATGATGTTGTGCACATAAGTAGATCAGAGGCAATTAAAGAAATGAGCCATAACAACTCTGTCAGATTTAACCGAGGGGATAAAATTATAAGTAGGTCATTACAGCTGAATGCTAGGCTTAGATAATAATGTAACGAGGAGAACAGTGGCTGATTGGATTTATGGGATCAGTTCAATGAAGGGGTGGTTTTTGGAATACATTTAAATAGAGCAAGGGTAATTAACTGTAAGAACATTAAATCAGGGCTGGACAGTGAAGAGCACTAGAAAAGTATAGTGTAAGAAATAAAATGGATAACTTTAGAGTACTACTAGGAACAGATGGTTTTGATGCAATGGAAATAACTGAAACCTGGCTAAATGTAGACAATATTTATCCCATGAATTTGGTTATAGGTTGTTTAATAGGGGATAGAGGACAAAAAGAGGGAGGTGGGGTGGCTTTATGTGTAAAATGTTAGTTACAATCAGTTCAAGATGAGAATGTCAATAATAACAGCAATAAAGTTGAATCTGTTTGAGTTTCTGTTAGTGGTTAGAAGGGGAGAAGACTTTTAGTTAGAATTTGTTACCTATGAAACTGATGAGATCAAGATTTCAGCTGTTAATGAGGTCATGATTAAGGGAAGTGTTAGAAACCTACTAGGAACAATGCTATTTCAGATATATTAACTTTTAATAAATAGATTGTTGATATGGTGAAGATTGGAGAACATCTGGGTGCAAGTGATTAATGGTCAATCAGAAATAATGACATTTTGGTTAGAAATTTCAAAAAAAATTTAAAGTATACAACAATAGTTATTTGTGAACTGAGTAACTGAATTATTTGGAGACACTCACTAATTATGGGATATGTTTAAAAATAAACTAAAATATTCCTTACAGAAAGAAAAAAAAGGGTGGCTGACAAAAGAAGTTTTACATATTTAAGCACATGCATAACTAGAAAAATCTGATTACAGAAACTACATCCATTCCCTAAAGAAGGTAACTAGAAAAACAACTACCAACTCACTAGCATAAAAACTTAATTATCATCCTATCAGGTGTGTATCTAATGAAACTACATCCTCCCTGCCATGTATATAACCTCAAAAACTCAAGTAAATAAACAACTCCCACTATATCAGGTGTATAAGGCTATAAGTTACTTCAAAGTACCACTCACTCAGGAATATAATCACAAAAATTCACCTCAAGAAACTACTTCTGTCTCATAACAAATATAAATATAAAAACAACTACATATGTAACTTCCAACCCATCAGGTGTGTCATTATAAAAACTCCAAATAAACTGATAAGGAATATAACTAATAAAACCAAAGCTAAATAACTCTCACTTTCTCAAGTGCATAACGATAAAAACTTGATTAAGGAAACAAATATCATCTCTTCATGTGTACAGCTAAAAAATAACTGTCATACCATCAGGAATATAACTATAAAAACTCAACTAAATTACAACTGCTACCAAATCAGGAATATAACTATAAAAAACTCAACAAAAGTACAACTGCTACCCAATCAGGAATATAACTATAAAAAACTCAACAAAAGTATAACTGCTAACCAATCAGTAATATAAATATAAAAAACTCAACAAAAGTATAACTGCTACCCAATCAGGAATATAAATATAAAAAACTCAACAAAAGTATAACTGCTACCCAATCAGTAATATAACTATAAAAAACTCAACAAAAGTATAACTGCTACCCAATCAGAAATATAACTATAAAAAATTCAACAAAAGTACAACTGCTACCCTATCAGGAATATAAATATAAAACTCAACTAAAGTACAACTGCTACCAAATCAGGAATATAACTATAAAAACTCAACAAAAGTATAATTGCTACCCAATCAGGAATATAACTATAAAAAACTCAACAAAAGTATAACTGCTACCCAATCAGGAATATAACTATAAAAACTCAACAAAAGTACAACTGCTACCCAATCAGGAATATAAATATAAAAAACTCAACTAAAGTATAACTGCTACCCAATCAGGAATATAACTATAAAAACTCAACAAAAGTATAAGTGCTAAAATATAATTTAGGTTTAGACTTTATGGATTTTTTTCTAAATACAAGTATTGAATTATAATTACAAAATTTAAAAATGTTTGTCTTTAACTGTTTTTATTTTAATATCAACCATTATTAATAGAAATAGAGATACAAGCTTTGAAATTGCTGGATTTATAACCAGTGTTCCCGCTAAGCTTTGCTCATAACCAATCATTATTCCAGTCGTGCACATCCTCAGTAATGGTGAGGAGTTTCAACACGTTGACGGCTTTAATAACCCTGGCAGTCGATAGGCCTAATGCTAAAAATAACCAACTGGCAGTATTGCAAGGTGGCCTAATGATCCAATAGGATCGATGGTCTAAAAATATCAACCCCCTCCCTAAATAAAACTGGTAGCACACATCTGTACATTGCCTTGATACTGGTGCACATGAAAAAAAATTCATTTAGCACACGGTCTGAAAAAATTTAGAGTAAATATTCTTTATAACCCAATGAACAATTATTGACTGGTTATGAAGGCAACAAATGGGATGTTGAACTAAAATCACCAGTCAATAACATGTTTTAGTGGTTTGTCAACTTTTTATAAAATTTTATGAAATAATTTAACTTTAACTTTTAAGAGTAATTTTAAATTATTTTTGCCTGAACTTCTGAACAAAAGAATTTACTTATGTAAAACATCAATAACTCATTTTATCACAGTTATTCATATATGCCTTATATATATGTAAATACATGACATATTTATATGGTTTCCAAAGCACATAAAACCTACTACCAATGCTAAGGAAGTGACCAAACAATGGGGTGCATAATCAAAGAAACGTCCTTGGGTAAAGATACTTAATAAATATTGTCATAAACCAGTTGCTACATCATTGCTTTGACGTATATAATGATTCCCTACTTGAGACATTACTAGTTCAATCTCTAAGAAATATGATGTCACGGTCACATCTGTATTTTAAATTTTACAGAAATAACTTCAGAAATCAGATCTAATCCTTCCTGATGTACTCACTGTAAAAAATAATGTGGTTACAAAATTTATAATTATTGCATGGAAGGAAAGAAAAGCAGGTGTTTTATATTCAAAATAGGGTTGGTTCTGATTTTTTCATTCGACATAGATATCAGTAAGCATTGCACACACGATTCTTTTGTTACAGTGTGTGGTCTGCTGTGTAACTGGAAGTAGTCTTAGCATTTAATACTTCCTTTCAGAAAGACTAAATATCGAAATTATCCGACTTATTTCACGCCATCTGTAAGTAACATACGGTGTTTCAGATATTATTTAGTGCTTTTACCATCTATTTCTCATTTTCCTCACTAGGGGACTATAGTTGTAATTTTCTTCACGCGGTCAAATCTGTTGTTAAAACTGCGGAAAACTAAAGCGAAGGTGATTAGCAGACCTGTTCTCACTTTCAGTCATCGTGTAAGGTGCAGTTTTTACCCCCCCCCCCATAACAAATGTTGTTAGAAAATCGCGAGTTTAAATTTAAACCGACAAAAGCACGTGAGCAATACAAGTGACGCTACGAACATTATGACGTCAATAATTTTAAAATAATACATTAACAAAATTTGAAAGAAAATTCACTAAACAAATCTTAATTTAACATTAAAGTCTAATTTACTATGTTACATTATAACCAATAAATGACAATAAACTTTTTTTGAGGCCCCTTGAATAGGATATAAGCAAATTTGAAGTTAATTATAATTAACACATATTAAGTTAATTACATAATATAAGCTAATTATTCGAAGTAAATAAGAATATGATGCATATAACTTTTAAATATGATATATTAAAATTAAACGATTATAATAATAATTATTTACTTGTACAACATGGCAAGCAAGATTGAATTAGGTACATAAAAAACAGTTATTGTACAACATTACCCTAACATCGTTTTTTCCTTGCTTTGGCGGAAGGAAAATCTCTAATTACATCTGCATAATGTTACGATAGCGGAAGTCACGTGACGCTGGTAACACGTCATGAGATTCTAGAAGGATCATGAAGGCCCCGAGCGTTTTTTATGCGCCCTCTATTTTAATATATAAGCCC